TATTAGATATTTAATTTAAGTAGTTTTATTTCTAAAAATAGCACTGTAAGTCTTTGATATTGTGGTTTATGTCAAATGCATAGTATACTACTTAGCCCTCAATGAAAACGCACCTTCAAAGCTAATGGATAACATTAAGCACGTAAATTGCTTATAAAATGTCTCTTGCCTATTTTTACTAAAGTGAAAATTCTCAATGCACAAAATTGTATAGAATAAAATCTGACGTTTGAAAGTCTATCTCCAGAAAACTGAGCATGTTCTTCTCTGCTTTAAAAAATGTATTTAATATTTTATTGTCTGAAATTCTAGCATCTTACTCATGTTTCTATGTTCATGAGCAAACATTTGCAATTATAGAGTATAGTGAAATGCTAATACTTATTTCATATCAATATTATGAGTTCATGTATGTTGCAAAATTATCACACTTTTATTTATATCTTGTTTTTAAAATAAAATACACATTTTATGTAATTATTTCCTATTTATTTTAAAGGAACAGTGAGTCAAATTTACCATTCATTTTCCCTTTGATTTCAGATTTAAACTCAGGATATGGTTTATGGCTTTCTATCTCACATTTATAAAGTATAAACCATGTATGGAAAGGTAATCTAATGGGAAACTCATATTGCCTGGATTTTTTCTGTTGATCTTTCTTTTCTTTCAAATTCAACTTTCCTAAACACTGTGTCGATATTTCAAAAGGGATTCTATCTCTTCATTTACAAATCAAACTTTTACCAACTTAAATTTGGTGCATAATTTTGGAAAAGTATTTTTAAAGCTCTATCAGGAATCCTGCGACTCCACTGGTATTCCTTCCTTTTTTGAGTTGGTTTTTGTCATTGCTAGAAAGCTTCAGAATTCATACCCATCCTTTCACAGCTGCAATTACTAACAGTGGGACCAGTGATGTCTTGGAGAGTCCCGTTCACTCCTGTGCACTTGTTGTTGTTGTTGTTGTTCCTGCAATATTTTGTTGGCATGTTGCAAGGCGAGCGTTACAGCCTGACTATAGTCCCTGCACACCTTGTACACACCTGCATGTCTGATAACCAGGTTGGCAGACGAGATGTGGAGGGGAAAGGGAATTCCCAGGCCACACAATTTAGGGTATTCTTCAGGAGTGATAGAGTAATGACAGATGGTTTGGCCACTTGCACAGGTGTTGGGGTTTGGAGCTGTCTGTATCTTGACCCTGGGTTGATTTAGAGCAAGGTGATATTAGCTTGCTGTGTGAGAATTAGACAACGATGTGGGTGAAGCCATGGCCCTGGATCAGCAGTCTGCACATGAAAAGCATCTCCATAGTAGCTAACTTTCCGGAGACAGCAAAATAGCCTTTAGTTCATTCCTGTGATTAATGGGCACCTAACAGAGAAGCACAGAACTTAAGAAAACATTGAATCCTTGTTTGTGTGGTTGTTTGGATTCATTTATTGGAAACACTGGGAAAATGATAATGGGGACTTTAAAGAATAGGTCACAGTTTCTGTAATCAGCATAATAAACACTTTCCGTTGAGTGAAAAAGGATGAACACTAAAACTATATAAGTCCTTGTAGATTATCCTATAACTAGAGTCCATATTAATATGGCATTATAAAAGAAAATGCATCTAAGTTGCTGAAATCTGTACCAATGTGTTGGTAAAGTTGGAAAGTATATTGATGGAATGAGATATGTAATAGTTTCTTGGAGCATCTCTAGGGTCAAGCTGGCAGGTCYATCTTATATGTGGTTAGAAGATATAAACCGACAGTTTATGAACATATATATAAAGATTACTGGTATTTGTKTTAATCAAGGGGAAGAAGTGATCATGGTGTGTCATGTAGGCAAGAGGTCATTTTGCAATTCTGGAGTCACAGAGAAAATAGCATAATCAGAGTATTGCTAAGCACACAGTAAGCTCAGAAACACAATAGAATCCCTGGCATCAAAGACAGACAGCAAATATTTACTGTRTTCAATTCATGCATAGAAAGGCAGACCAGGAAAATCCCTTGGGGTGGAGGCTTTAATGTGCAGGGTAGTGTTATTTATAGTGTAAAGGGCAACATCACCTTCAACAATGAAGGCTTAGTCTGGGGAAATGGCATCAGGGACATGGAGTTTCAGTGTTCTTGATACATAGTCAGAATAATGTAGCTCTCATGGTTGGTTTAAACAGTAAGTTACTTGAGGAATTTGGGACTCCAGATTGTAAACCATGGAATGCACCCAGACCATTAGTAAAAAGGCCAAGCAGCAACAGAATGATGGGCAGTCACTTGTTAGAAGAGGGTGTATGGTAATTTAGGCTCAAATGGGTTCATGTCTAGGGAATCACAAGAGGGGTCCGAAGGCAAAAACAAGAGCAGGTAAAGGACAGGGCCAGAGCCTCTAATGGGTTTTCTAGACAAAATCAAGGTAGGCAAGGATGAAAAGTTTAGTRTGGGCTAGTTTCTACAATCTGAAGGATTGTGTTGGCCTTTGGATCATATAAACCATCCCTCATTTTATGGTACATAGAATTTTGATCAAAGGAAATGGCTCCCTTAGGTGGGAGGTCTGTCTGCACATTAAAAGTAAACTCAGACAAATTGACTTGAAAAAGAGAGTTAAAAAAGAAAAAAACTTTGGTTATGGCTGTCTATCCCTCTGAAGATGGCAGACCTTCTCCCTTGAATGTGTATTTCTTACTTTATTCCAAAATCTGTTTCTCCCAATGTAGACCACATCCTGCATTGAATGCATATTGACTTTATAAGATCTTCCACCCTTCTTTAACATTATTTTTATGTTCTTTTCAACTTGTTTGGTTTGTTGTTTGCTACCTTACTTTTATATGTCCACTAATTGCTGAATCCTAGAAACAAGGGTCTTATGGGCACCTCACAGAGTGGGTTTTCTGAAAGAGGCAATCCTTAATCTCCTGTGTTACCCAAGATGTTCTGCTAGTTCTTCACCTGCTGTGCCACTGAACTCAATGGTTCTGTCTCCCTGGGATCTGAATCAGAACAGAACACCAAGAATAGTTGTCACAGAATAAAGTTTATTTGCAGCAAATAAGGATACCCCTCAGAAAAATCCCCTCAGGGGGAGATGCAGTTTATTTGGGCAGGGAATGCATATTCAGAAAAGGGAAGGTGCTCATCATGTGCACAGTGCAGGGACAATCCTACACAGGTACAGTCTGATAATGTGCCCCTTCCTATGTCCCTTGYTATGGAAATGAGCTCCAGCTCTTTCTCAGGTAAAGATTTTGGTATTATAATTGAAAGAAAAGTGACCACAACACTCGGAGCATCTTTATTGCAGCAGTGCAACAAAGAGAAAAGAAAGAAGGAAAGAAGTGGGAGGGGGCAGCTRGGGAAGGCTTTTATAGCCCTTCTGCTGTGCTGCCTAAATCTAACAGGGTCTCTGGGTTGGCAAGCTGCCTTGTTGGCACACAAGGGGGTTAAGTGCTCGGCCTACAGCAGGGGCTTGAGAGTTTGGGCTTGAAGCAAACAGGTGATAAAGAACCAGAGGGTTTGAGCAGCCAGGTCATCCTGCAACTAACTTTGTTTGGCATGCCCTGCAGACAGCTTACTCAGCCTGTCCCGTACCTAACAATAATGAAGTAAATTTCCATCTTTTGGTCACTTGTGCATTATCCTTAAGGTATCTTATGTAATAYCATCTCTGAAAAATAAATTTAAGAAGATGTATTGGAACAACTTACTTGGGGGCTCAAGGTACAGAAATGGGAGAGAGTCTATCTTCTGCTTTTCCTGGCTATTAAATGGTATAGACAGTCTGCATCCCGTTTTCTCAGGCTGCTAGTAAGGAAAAGCCTGCAACCTGCTTTATCAGGCTGCCTCTCCGCTAACAGGTGTGCAGACATGCTTGCCATGTGTGATTTCAGCTGGCACCTCCAAGGGGWCAGAGAGGAAGGGGATAATGAGTTGCCATGAACAGTGGGGAGAGAGGGGTTAGAAGGCCTTCCAGAGGAGCAACCACGTGGGAACAGAGGGCAGGCAGGAAGCATGGGAACACGCATGGGCCTAGAGGACAGTCCCTGCAAGCTGTAACCAGGGGTAGCCGCAGAGGCCAAGTCCCCACCGTTAACGCCAGGGCTAGCCCAGAAGGCTTGTCCTGCTGCTCCATCGGTATTCAAGTCCTCCCTGCAGGCTCAAGCCTAGCTCTTGCCTGCAGAGCGCCTGCTGGATGCAGAGCACCCCAGCTCCTCCCGCTCGCAGGTCTCCCTGGAGCCCTGGGCACTACGTTACCCAGAATGCCCTGCTCCAGGAGCCGCTAAGCCAATGAGCGCCCAGAGAGGAGTGTTTCCGGCGTGGGCCATTGTGTGGGCGGGACTTCCGGCGCGGCTCCGCCGGCGCTGGTCTTAGCGGTCTTTGGATCTGTGCGAGTTGTCGGAGCTTTGTCCTCCGGGAAGCGACCAGGCTGGGCTGGCGTCCGGAGGGGTCCGAGGGGCGGTGGCCACTTTGGCCGTGTCCCCGTCGCACGCGCAGAGGCCCATGGCCGAAGCCGGCCCCGCTCGGGTAAGTGGTCCTCCCCGCCGCGCTGTGCTCGCCTCCCCACAGTGTCCGAGTGAGGGGCTCTGCCCGGGAGCCGCAGGCCAGGCTCTGTCCAGCCCGGTCGGGGCTCGTGAGGGAGGTGGAGCGGGAAACTACGCCTGAGGCCCGGCGTGTGTCCTGTCGAGGAGGGTCGAGTGGAGAGCTCTACCTTGGTCCTTAGGTCGTTGGTAGCCACGGAGAACAGCCACAGAAGAGGGACCTAGTCTGACTTCAAGCTTTTCCAGAAGCTTCTCACTGTTAGGACCAGAAGGAGGGGTTCAAGGCCTGAGAGTTCCTCGAGTTAGCACTGAGGCTCCAATATAATGAAAGCCTCCCTCCTCAAGTCACCTGGCTTCCAGCTGGGAACGAGTACAGCAGGGGCTGAGCCTCTGGAGCCCTGCCATGACCATCTGCCTCTCATGACCTCCCTCTTCCTACAGGTTTCCATGAGTGCAGAAGCCCATAGGGACCTCACCGAGGTGAGTAGTGTATGACACAGGCCCTCCGCCTCCCCCACCCCCAGGATTTTTTTTTTTTTAAATGAATCCCTTCTCTTGATGCTCATCGTTCCTTGGACCAAAGGACCTTTAACAAACCCAAGCCTAAGATCCTGATTCTATTTGGGAGTTATTTTAGGTAGTTCCTATAGAGATATGAAAAGCTTTCCCCTAATGCRTATGTGCTTGGAGGTGAAGCTGCACTGGTTCATGGAGTTCCAGGTTTCTTTTCTATTTCAGAGGATCTAAAAGTAGCAGGGCAGGATTCAGAGCTGAATGACTGTCAGAATTTATGGCAGCAGTGGGAGTTGTAGAGAAGGGAARGAAGATGATCTGATGCTGGTCTCATCAGCCTCCATGTTATGCCATGGAGAACTCGGTCAGTAGGAGGGACACAATAGGAAGGCCAGGGAAGAGGCTACCATAATACTCTAGGTAAGTGCTGTTAGTGGCTTGAACCAGTACGGCTACTGTGGAGGTAAGAGAAGTGGTAGGATTCTGGATTCATTTTCTTAATTAGACCTGCCTGGATTTTCAGATTTTGAGGATGAGAGAGGGGGAGAGAGAAAGATACTATTGAGGCATTACTTCGGGCTTTTGGGGTTTAGTATCTGGAAGAAAGGAAACTCCATCAGCTGGACTGTAAAGTTACCAGTAAGGTTTATTTCACTGGGGATATCAGAATTTTGGTTTTTAGGTACTTACATCTAAGATGTTGGTTGAACAATTAGTAGAGACATCAAGTTCTGGCCACATCGGTTTGGAATTTGGGGAATGGTTTAAGATGGAGACATTTAAAAGATATAGTTAGTGTTTGACCCATAACTAGGAGGAATTATATTTGTCATAATAGTAGTGCTGTGCACAGCCCAGGTAAGGGAAAATGGAGCTGTGCCTGGGTCTTGTACTTGGACACCTGAGTAGACATGGTAAGCATCATAAACAGATGTGGAGAGAGAATTGACCATGGAAGGGCATGACAAAATAGATTATCTGGTAGGTGGCTAAGGCTTCTAAGGCATAAGGGAGATAGAATGGTTACAGAAACAGGAATAATTAGAAGATGACACCAAGGACATGACTGAATTTGTCTTCCCCTCCAAATTTCTTACATTGAAATTCTAATCCTAGAGCTGAGGCCTGTGAGAGGTAATTAAATCATGAGGATGGAGTCCTTGTGTCTGGTATTAGTGAATGCCCTTTTAAGAAGAGGTCAGAGAATAGCTAGTGATCTTTTAACTATGTGGAGATACAAGGGGAAGTCAGCAGTCTACAGTCTGAAAGAGGACTCTCACCAGAGCCTGACCATGATGCACCCTGAATTCAGCCTCCAGATCTGTGAGAGATTCCTGTTATTAATAAGCTACCCAATGAGTAGTATTTTTTTACAGCAGCACAATTGAAGATACTCAGTCTAGTGCTCATTCACCATGCTACAGGCTCACCAGGATTGTCCACTCAAGCAGATAGCTAAGTTTGGGGGCACAGTGATCATCTGTGAGTGTCACTGGGTCTGGGGTAGAATGTCATTGAGGCTCTGAGATAATTTGGTCACTGAGTTTGAGGGTTAAGAGTAAAAGGAAAGCTGTAACTGGTAAGTGGACATCAAAATCAGTAGAAATAGAGGACAAGAGTTGTTTGAAATCCTTAAGTGATCCTGGGTAGCTGAGATTGAAGCAAGGAACAGAATCAGACAGCCAGGCCTTCCGGCAGGCTCCTGGACTGCATGTTTCTGGAGGCACCATCTGGAGGACCACTGAGGAATGGTCTAACAGAAGGGGAGACTGCATTACATGCCAAGTCCACAGTGAAGATGGTATTGTCCTGCCTACCTTCCTGATGGCTATGGGAGGACACAGTGATACTGRGACCATGATAGTGAGCTTCAGAGGCACTGGGATGTGGTATCCCTCTGAGATAGGAATGTAGGAAGAAGGGCAAACAGGATGGACAAGCAAGTGGATGAACTTGGAATTCTAGAGGAGAAGTTTATTGTGGAGTGACCTTTCCCCATTATGGCAGGACTGTGTGACCTTTGAGGACGTGGCCATTTACTTCTCACAGGAAGAATGGAGACTACTTGATGAGGCTCAGAGGCTTTTGTACCTCGGTGTGATGCTGCAGAACTTTGTACTTGCAAGCTCACTGGGTAAGGCTCTTACACTCACCCTAGTGTCTCTGTCCTCTTTTTCCCCAAACAGATTCACCTTTTCCCGGCCTTACAATCTGTTAAACTCTTCAGTTTCCTGTCATATGTGCCAGGGACGCCAGCACTGAGCTGTGTGCACTGTTTGCACCCTAACACATGTGCCCTGTGTGGTCTGGGAGTTAAGTATCTTGCATTCAGGCTACTGGATCTCAACTTTTTGCCATCTCTCTGGCTATGTCCACAATCATGATACCTTTTTTCACAGCTCCCCCACCCCTCACCTTTTGCTAGTTGACCTTTTCTTGTGACTGCTTGTGGCATAACAGACATTGTCATAGTCCATACTTGGAACCATGGAACCATGGGCTATTATTATCATACCCCCCACACAAACACACACTTTTTTTTTTTTTTTGTAGTTGTAGATGGACAGAATGCCTTTTTCATTTTATTTTATTTTATTTTATTTTTTAATGTGATACTGAGGATCAAATCCAGTGTGTCACACATGCCAGGCAAGCATTCCGACACTGAGCTACAGCCCCAGTCCCTGTATCCCCCTTTTTAAAATAATCTTTATTTTTCTCTCCTATGGCCTGTTGTATCCTGAGATGATCTGTATGGCACGTTGTGTCTTTTCTTTCCTGTGGACCCTGCTTCAAAAGGTCCCATGTAGTGATCGTACTTAGGGTGTGGGGAGAAACCTGGTTCCTTCATAGAGTGAACATGATTTCAGAAGAGGCCTGGGCCTGATGTGTGGCACATAGAAAGTAGCGTACATCCAGGCTATTTTCAAATCATAAAAGGAACCTGTCCTCTGTCCACCACTGTTTTGGTGCAGGTACCACTAGCCAAACTTCATTTCCATGTTTTCTTCCCCATACATCTCAGTTTTTTTGTGGGAGGATGGTGGTTTACCAGGGATTGAACTCGGGGGTGCTTAACCACTGAGCCACATCCCCAGACCTATTTTGTATTTTATTTAGGTTCTCATTGAATTGCTTAGCACCTTGCTTCTGCTGAGGCTAGCTTTGAATTCATGATCCTCCTGTCTCAGCCTCCCAAGCTGTTAGGATTACAGGCATGCACCACTGCACCCAGCCATGAACTTTTTTGATTTCTCATTTCATGTAACTTCCAGCACCCATCCATCCACATCTTTCTGGTCTTCATGCCTCATCTGTTCTTTTATACTGCTCTATGCAGTGTATTCCAACACTACCTCACACACACTGATAAAGTGTACACATACATCACATTAACCTGAATACTTGCCACGCAGTTTTGTGTGGATTTTCCTGGGCTTGGAGTCAACCTACCATCTATATGACATGTACCTGTTACTAGCAAACAGCATCCTGCTGAAGGCTGTGTGGTGAGTTCTAGAGATGTGACCACAGTGTTAAAGCAGCTTAAGGCTGTTTGCAGAGGAGTGAGTTGAAGACTACTTCTTCTTATGACCCATCCATCTTTGTAATCTTCAACTGGTAAGGCCTCCCCAATTCTGTGACTTTGAGAGACATCATATTGCCATATAGCCCCTTCCTCAACCTGTCCCTGTATCTCTTATTCATAGAAAAAATCTTGGAATCATTGGTAGAGTGTGCATGGTGGTGCCTCCTCCTTCACACATAGTCATCATACATTTCATTAGCAATTCTCTGCTTTCAGGTTGTGGGCATGGAACAGAGGATGAAGAGATACCTTCTGAGCAGAAGGTTTCAGTAGCAGTTTCACAGGTCAGGACTTCTAAGGCAGGTTCATCCATGCAGAAGACTTACCTCTGTGAAAAATGTTTCCCAATTCTGCAGGACATTTTGCACCTGGATGATCTACCTGGGCAGAAATTCAGAATTGGGACATATGCAGATCTTCACCAGCACCAAAAGCATCACAGTACAAAGAAGCTCTTGATGAGGGACGTTGAAAAATCCTCGTATTTGAAACACTTCCTGTTCCGCATGTCAAGGAAGCCCTTTGCCAGTTGGGAGATTGAGAAGGACCTCCCAGCCATGTGGAGCCTTGTCAAGTCCCCAGCATTTCCCAGTAGTGAAAAGCCCAATAATACCTCCAAGGGTGGGGAGGTCAGTCATAGTCATAAAAGTCATAAGTCAAGAGAATGTGGGAATTCTGTCAGCCACAAGCACACTCTTGTTCACCGCCCCAAAGTTACCACTGGTAAAAAGCTTTATGAGTGCAGCAAATGTGGGAAAACCTTCCGTGGCAAGTACTCACTTGATCAGCACCAGAGGGTACACACTGGAGAAAGGCCTTGGGAGTGCAGTGAATGTGGGAAATTCTTTAGCCAAACCTCCCACCTGAATGATCACCGGAGAATTCACACTGGAGAAAGGCCTTATGAGTGCAGTGAATGTGGAAAATTATTTAGACAAAACTCCAGCCTTGTTGACCACCAGAAAATTCATACTGGAGCAAGGCCTTATGAGTGCAGTCAGTGTGGGAAATCCTTTAGCCAAAAAGCCACCCTGGTTAAACACCAGAGAGTTCACACTGGAGAAAGACCTTATAAGTGTGGTGAGTGTGGGAATTGCTTTAGTCAAAGTGCCATTCTTAATCAGCACCGCAGAATTCACACTGGAGCAAAGCCTTATGAGTGTGGTCAGTGTGGGAAATCCTTTAGCCAAAAAGCTACACTCATTAAACACCAGAGAGTTCACACTGGAGAAAGGCCTTATAAATGTGGCGAATGTGGGAAATCCTTTAGTCAAAGCTCCATCCTTATTCAACACCGGAGGATTCACACTGGAGCGAGACCCTATGAGTGTAACCAGTGTGGAAAATCCTTTAGCCAAAAGTCTGGCCTCATTCAACATCAGGTAGTTCACACTGGAGAAAGGCCTTATGAGTGTGACACGTGTGGGAATTCCTTCAGTCAATGTTCTAGCCTCATTCACCACCAAAAATGTCACAACGCGTAGGGGCATCATGAAAGCAACAAATACAGGGAAGTTTTCAGCCCAAGGTTTAGCAGCTCCTGAAAGCCCACACTTGAGAAAGGCCTTAGACCTGCAGGAGGTGTCATCTTTTTCAGAGAGGCTTTGTGAAGGAACCACCTGCCTAAAGTTAACACACTTCCTACTACCCAGTGAGGGCAGTGTCCCCGTGTGTTCGTGATGAGTGAGCCTTCCAGGAGCTCCATGCACTTCTCAACTGATGGGGGCCATGTCAAGAGCTAAGTCACTGCCACTGTCTCTGGTAGAAGGCATCTTCCTCTGCCACTTTGCACAGTGTCCATCGGTCACTGGAGCACGTGAGGGAAGGCGAATGCTTATTCCCTGGAGGAAGTCTTGAGCAACCTGGGCCTTCAGGGAGAGTTCTTTCCCTTTTCTGACTGATTAAAGCACACGTATAACCTAGTTTTTACCATGAAAACCTAGTCTGCTGGAGGCTTTCAGGAATGGCTGATTTTCTTCATCAAAAAGTTGTTTTTTCAGTCTCACATGACAGTTGGGTTAATTTTTTCAGCCTTCTATTTACCAAATGGTAACTACCTGCCTTGCATTAGTCTTGATTGTGTGCTAATAAATGCCTTATTGTTAAAGCTACCTTTAATTATGGGGTTGAGTTTACTATGTCGGGAGGCTGGAAGACACTTTGTGATATTTGAAAGGATGGACAGCTTTCATGGGTCAACTGTTCTTCAGGGACAGTAAAATAACAGTTCTCATTTTGCTTTCAGGCTGGTTTGTATTGCTGCCCTAGACAACATGGGAAATAATGCAGGATTTTACCCTGATTTGTGGTTTGGATGGTCACAATTTTCTGTGAGACTATAGGTCCACCTGGGGAGAGGCCAGCTGTTGTGACAGGTTTCTGTGATTGGGTGAATAGAATGAATTCACTCTGTTGTTCCCAGAGGATGTTGTTTTGCAATGCCCATGTGGAGGAGAAAATGTTCACAGGGCTTTACAAGAAGCCATCTGCCTTGATACCAGTCATTCCATTTCATAGATTGGTGTCACTCATATGATGGCTGGAGCCAGCTGTGAACCTTAATTGGTTTAGAAATCATAAATACTGGGTGTGGAGAAGGAACTTACAGTAAACTGCATGAAATGTGCCTCTTGCAAAGGTGCATCCACATATCTTCCAGTGACTGAGCATTCACAGGACCTAGAGGTCTGTGTATGCCCAATAGCTGTGGTCATTGTCAAGGAAAATAAAGGTTTTGTGGATTCATATTGTCTTTCTGGGTTGTTCACCTGAAGTGCATTGCTGTAGAAGCAGGAAAATAAGGAGATCATGGTGATCCTACAGTCCAGGGTTATAGCTCTGGTGATCCTGTCAGTGTTCTGTTGTTTGATATTACAACAGCATTCCTTACTGCACCAATAGAGAGCTGCCCTTTCCCATGCATGAGGATGGAGATAGTGGAATCAACATGGGTTATTACCAGAAAAATAGTTTAGGCTTTGAATTTGGTTTTGGAATCACTTTTTATAAACTTATTTATATATAGTTACTTGGAATAACTGATGTTTATGGTGTATAATTTGAAAAGTTTTGTCTCATAAATTCCTGAAACCATTATAGTGATCATAAATATATCTACAATTTACCTCATGCCATATTATCTCCCCATATTCCCCAGGTTTGCAAGTATCCAGTAATTTACTTTTATTCACATGACAATAACTTGTGAATGAAATATTTTATGAATCCAACTACACATTTTTTGCTACATGATTATTTTGAGAAAGAATCATCTCTACTGCTTATATGAACAGTTCATCCTTTTATTGCTGAGTCATATTCAGTTCTATGGATATGCTATTGTTTATTTTCTATCTATTTATCTATTTATTTATTTGTGCTGGGGATTGAACCCAGGGCCTTGTGCATGCAAGGTAAGCACTCTACCAACTGAGCTATGTGCCCAGCCTTTATTCTCCCATCACTTAATGGGCAGTTGGATTATTTCCTTTTTGGGGATGTTAAAAACAAAGCTACTGTGAATACAGGCATAGGATTCTTAATGTGCATATGTGGTTTATTTCTCCTGTGAAAATAATTCAGAGTATGTGTTTTGCATTAAAAGAAAACTGTCAAACTGATCTAGACTTATTGTACTCACTGAATTCCCACCAACAATATGTGAACATTTCTGTCCTTCTACCTTCTAGCCAGTACTTGAAATGATTAGTCTTTTAAATTTGAGCTGTTTTAATGTATTATGGCATCTCACTGTAGTTTTAATTGCATCTTTCTGATGTTTCATAATGTTGGGAATGTTTTGTTTGCCACTTATGTATCTTCTTTTAAAAAGGCTATCTTTTTGCCTATTTTAAAATGTGTGTTGGTGATGTAGTTTTCACTAACAAATAGACATGTATAACAAGAACATATTGGAACTTACTCATTCTTCAGTAAATGAGGGTCTTTGCTAAATAGGRAATTGTTTTTGAATGTTGGAAAAATATTTTCTCAAATTTTTTTGCAAGTGCAGGAACTTACAGTAAACCGCAGTCACAGACACTATATGTTTTAAGCATTTTGTGCATTATTAGTAACAGCAAACCCTCTTTTTAGAATTTGTCAATTACCCTAGTAGAATACTCTCACCATGGCCAATTCAAGTTCTAAAATGATGTCACTGAACATAGAGTTGGGAAGAGATATGCAATAGCACATAATTATGTTTTATTCTCATCATACTGATATAGTAGTCACAAATATTCAGATGTAAAACAGTAAAATAATTAGAAAGTAACAACTTTTGAGTATCACCTTAGATTTTTCAAGGTAGCTTGATGTGTAATTGTCATACAATAAACTATGCATATTTAAAGTGTATAATTCCTTTTTTATGTCAGTACTCAGAGTTTTTTTTTTCAGTTTCCTACAAAATTGACTTGTTCCTTAAGACATATTTGTTTGATTTCAGTTAATTATATATGACTTTTACATACATAATTTTAGTAGTTTCGTAAATCCCTACTATCTACAAATACCATTAGTGTTTAAAACATTATTCATTTATTGAGGTTTCTGGGTCTTTTGTTCATCAAAATTTCCCACATTCTGTATTTGGTTATCTTGCATTTTTTCTGATGTCACTAAACATACTAACTCTCTATATTCCCTTTGCACTAGATATTTAATTAGATGAAGAGAACCAAAATAATGCACATAGTTAAAAGAGGGAATTTGTTAGATTGTCTTACATGATAGGTGCTGGATCATCCCACAAAGGCTATTGACAGGCTGGAGAGGCGAGGAAAATAGTAGCTATCCAGTCCAAGAAACCGGAACCCTCACCAAGGGGATGAATTAATGTGCAGACCCAGCCAGAAGTTGGAGGCCTGAAAGCCCCCTGGAGAGTCACTGATGGGAGTTTGAGTTCAAAGACTGAAGAATTGTAATCTGATGTTCACAGGTGAGGCAGCAGCCAAAATCATCATCATCATCATCATCATCATCATCATTATCATCATCATCATCAGCAGCAGCAGCAGCATGTGCTTAAGAAGAAACAAGCTTGCACATATGGGAACTTCCCCCTTCGTCTGCTTTTTGTTCTATCTGGGCCCCTAGCCTATTAGATTGTGCTTCTCATATCAGGATGGGTCTTCCCCTCAGTTGGCTGACCCACAAGACAATTGTTTCTGAAAAAACTCACACAAACACACAGTCAGAAATGTGCTTTACTAATTCTCTAAGCATCTCTTGATTTAGTCAAGCTACAACCAAAATTAACTATCATTGATCTTGTAGGGTTTTTTGTTTTGTTTTGTTTGTTACTAGGTGTTGAATCCAGGGGTGCTCTATCACTGATCTACATCCCAAGCCCTTTTAAATTTTATTTTGAGATAGGATTTCACTAAATTGGTCATCTCAAATTTGCAGTCCTCCTGCCTCAGTCTCTAAGTTGCTGGCATTACAGTCATGTGCCATTATACCCAGCACTACCACAGATATTAATAAGAGGTTTGATTGAAGTCTGATTCCACAGGTAATTATGTAATAGTGACACACCTGTGCAGTCTTTTTTCCCCCTTTCAGCCTATCTATTCGTGGGGTAAAAAGCTAAGACACTCTATACTTTAAGGATTATCTTCATATTGTGCAATTTGCTAGCACGCCATAGGCCTGCATGGAAACAAAAACATCTCAGGTACTGAATTTTGCAGTGTTGTGGGGCAGGTTGCTCAGAGAACACAGCAAGTCTGAGTTATGTCCAAATTGAAGAGTCTTTATTCTGATCAACCAGCACTGCTCCCTGCAGGACCAAGTTGTCTCTGCAGGAAACAGTCTTGAGCCTCACCTTTTTAGGATATTTGAAGGCAAAAACCAATTCTGGGTTGATGTAGCTGCAAGCAAGGAGGTACAGAAGCTACACTGGAAAATGCGATGGGTACATAAGTATTTCCAATGGGGCTTTCCAGGTTGGCATAGCAGCAAGCAAGCAGAAGGGAAGTGGGTCAAAATGACTCTAATTAAGTATGTTAGAGAATGGTTACTACCATCTAGACAATTAATCTCCAGTTTCCCAGATGGAGTTGGTTATCCATTTTGTGTGGAAGACTAAATATTCAGGGTGACCATATACATATCAATTTCTTGTTAACAAAATTTTCGACATATGGTGGGCTCAACTATGTTCTTAGAACTGTGCTTCTTAGTTACCACCAATCAAGACTCAAGTTCTTAGGATTCTCACCTACCTTTCTAGATGTTTGTATCATTCTCACTGGGTAACCCTATTAATCTGTATTAGTTGTAATTTGCTTCACTCCACAGATAGTCTTTCTCAGATAGTCTCCAGACCTCTTGTAGACAGTGTCATTGCACTAACAGGTGACATAATGATTTCCCAGCAATATGAGATAATCAAGTCCAAACTCTATGTTCATCTGTCCATATTCCACACTTGGAAAATATTTGTGGCAAGTAGTATACCCTCAAATAAATTACAAACACAATTGCAGAAGAAAGAAAAATGGTTCTGTCCTAATAATTGTTTAATTGACACCAATATGTTCCATTCCTTGGGTTTACCTACTGTTTATGTGTTACCAACGTCCCGTCTATACTTTAAAATTTATCTCCTAAGACCAGGACATTATTCTTCACAGCCACATGTTTTTTTTAAAGTCAAATTTAGTTAGATTAGCTTCAATAAWCACTGTCATCTAATATACATTATATTCTGTTTTCACTAGTTGGTTAAAATATTCCCTTTATAGTGTCTTCTTTACTGACTGGGGACACATTTTGTGATTTATCTCTCAGCCTCCTTCAATCTGGGGCACTTCCTCAGCCTTTGTCTTTTATGGACTTGCCTTTTTGTGGATTGGTGGCCAGGTGTTTTAGAGAATGGAAACATTTAAATGATGAAACTGTTCAAGTTCAGACCATTGTTTCTAGGAGAAATCTAAAGCAATTCACCTTTCACCTCAATTAGTTCGAATTCCTATATTAGGTGATTAAAAAACCAACTCATGTCCTTTCCATTCACAGCACATTTGTAAAAATATACAATGTTAATGATTGTGATCACTGTAAAACACACAATGTGTTAATGACACTTTCAGAGAGGTGTGTGAGTCTCTAAGGAACAGAAAGTTCACTCTGGATCAGGGTGCTTAGCGATAAATGGCTTATTTTAATTTGAATAGAAAAGACTAGTCTGCTCTGTTGACTCTGAAAGAGAGACCAATTTCATAAGTGAGTTAAGGAATCAAATAGAGATTTAGTACCACAGAGTCAACCAAAAAAGTCTCCATCAAAAAACCAAACTAAGTGAGATTTGAGCTCAAAGAAAAAATACCTAAGCTTCTATTAATTCTCCCGACAGAAGCACACCTGCAATATCTCCTTTTCTTCCTGAAGTGCCAGTAAAGCCAAGTGACTTACACTGTAGATCCCAAGATGTCTTGATTCAAGCACTTCTGTTCACATTTCTTGGAGAATCTGATAAATTCAAGATTCTTGTGAAATGATTTGGGAGAGGCTGACCTCACAAGGAGAAAAACAATTTCACTTCACACCACATTTGTAAAAATATACAATGTGAAAATACCTAATGTCAGAAAGACATTAGGTAAAGTGATAGGAACTCCCCCAACTTACGAAGAAAAGACAGAGAAAAAAAGAGGAAATACTGATTACCCAGGTTTATATGTATTGAATTATCACATCATGCCCCCAAAACATATGCAATTAGTACTTATCAATTAGAAAAAAGACAGAAGGGAGGAGAGAGGATGAAGACCACATTGGCCAAGTGCAAACTCCACATGAGGACGAGCTCAAACAACATGGTATGAATCTTCCAGGAAAAGAGGGAATGAGGAAAAAAAGTTTTAGACCCTGGAAAGTACTGCTGATGCATCTATACAAAAATAACTATGACTTGGTTTTTAGTCAGTTGTATAAATCACTCTRCAAAAATGATATTCAAGTTGACAACACAATGTTAAAAATTAACAAATATAGAGTAAGAGAGAGTCAGAAATGAATAAAGAAGAGAATTTAAAAGAGTAAAGGAAGAGGAAAGGTCCAGTGAAATATCCTGACTCAGAATTATGCCTAAGAAGAAAAACACAGAGATAACAGATAAGGAAACAGATGGAGTGCACAGATGAAAATCCACAACAGAGAAGGCTCTAGCACACCATATCACAAAACACGTGCTGGGCGAAAACGGAGCCTTCTGACGTGATTCCTAGAAGAAATAAAGAGTAGAGAATCACCTTTCTATTAAAAACTCTTTTTCCAAGTTAGTCCCTAAGCAGTGGTTCAAAGAGAGTTCCCACAAGGAGCACCAGGGACGCAGAGTAGCCTCAGAAATAAGAGCCATGGCAA